ATAAATGAAATATTAAAATTCCTATGTACCCAGACTTTGTGGACACCCTGTAGTACGACCCGCCCAGAGGTACGTTATTTTTTGCAGATGAGTGGTCGGTCATGCCACTTGAAAAGTTAAGCACTTTACGGGTCCCCTTCCCTTGACAAATGTCCTCTCCTCTTCTACTAATTTCCCTACTTACTATATAGTTTTGAGGAAGAGTACTATTCTCATGGAAGGTGATACAATGGTTAAAATTGACTCAGGCTAATAAAATGATTATTCCAGTGTTCGAAAATTCCTCTTCTTCTCAAGATATCCAAACTGTCTAGGGTAAAAACTGACACCTTGATAGTTTGCCTGTTGGTAAATACGTTGGTAGTGGTTTCGCACAAAAAACAGTCGGTTGTGTGGTGTGGGTAGAATTGACCGACGTAAAACAAATGGTCAGTCTACGTAGCTGCGTAAAAAAGGACAACTTTAGCCTATAGACTTTATCTAATCTACGTGTAGCTGCCCGACATCCACTTCCACTCACCCTACGGTATACTTACGTGTCTCCTGACAAGGTACCACTGCTCGGAATGGGTGCCTTTCGGTTCCCTGAGGTCAGATCGTGAGTACACTGTGGACACATACCGTGTTCGTCTGCCCGGCAAATTAGGGGATTGTAATGTGGACTAGCATACAGTAGGGACCATTAGACCTTAAGCCTGCCTCCCCTTCGTAAAGTGGAATGGAAGATGAACTTTCTTCGGGATACTGCAATTACTCAGGATACCACAACTGACAAGTTCGTATTGCGATTGTGTTTTCCAGGGTAGAACATTTAAAACGGCATTATTTACCTATTTAAAAAATCGACTCTGGGTGTTTAGTTTAGGTTTTAACAATGGAAACAATGAGAAACTTTTACGGTCAGTGAGTTCATCAAAAAGCCTGACTCTGACAAATTCAAGTGACTAGTTGCATACTACGACAACGCCAAGGTCATCTTTTCTGTGGAACGGTAAATCGATTCAACGACTTCGATTTTGACACGCTTTACTCGAGCAGAGAATTTAGTCTCAGCCAATCATGCAGCATCGACACTGGATAGTCTTTGTGTTGATAAGAATGTCGCCGTCCGTGATAAAATCGTACTGGTCTCTGTTTAGCACAACACTATCAGCTCAACTGTGTGGGCTAGTGTGCGACTATTAGCTGACTGGGCACAACCTGTGCAAGTAACGTAACCTTACCGCTGCATCTCTATAATTTCAAATAATCATGCGAAAAAAACGGCAGGAAAGTAGCGACTGCAGGGACTGCCGTTAAGACACCAATAACAAAAATAACCGCTCCCTAACCTTAGGGGCCAGCCCTGAGCGATTATGATGTCATCTGGCTATCCGAGGAAGCCTCAGCAAAGGATGAAGAAACGAAATTGCGTAGGCTCCATGGAGGAGATTAAAACGGTGTGCCAAATAGAGCAAGCAAAACAAAGAGGCCTGGAGCTCGAAACTGTCCACGAAAATTCTAAAAAACAAACCACAATCACACCTGGTCACATGAACATGTAACGAGAATGAACGTTTTCTGATATTCTGTGTATTCCTTTTCTCTGTCTTT